GGCGGCGCCGCTTCCGTTGGCAGCTGGGTGGGCGCTTACTCGCCGCGCTCCGCAGGGCACTTCACGTCGGCGGAGGATCTCAACCTGCTGATCGCCAAGAACACGCGGCTGGAGATCTACGTGGTCACGGCCGAGGGGCTGCGGCCCGTCAAGGAGGTCGGCATGTACGGCAAGACGGCGGTCATGGAGCTCTTCCGCCCGAAGGTGAGCGCGGCGGGAGGGCGCGGGGCGCTGCCGGGCCCGAGGACGGACCCGCTGCCCGTGACACCGCTCTGCTTTCCTAGGGCGAGAGCAAGGACTTGCTGTTCATCCTCACGGCCAAGTATAACGCGTGTATCCTCGAGTACAAGCAGAACGGGGACAGCATTGACATCATCACCCGTGCCCACGGCAACGTGCAGGTGAGTGAAGTTGCGGTAGCTGGTCAAGTCCTGGAAGACTTGAAGTCCCTTCTTTGGGGCTGGTTTTACTTTGCTGTTGTCGTTGGCAAGTCTCCAGGACAGAATTTACGGTGATTTTTCCTTCAGCTATTTCTGATACGGTTTCCTGCTGCTGTTACTATTTCTAGATGGTTTTGCCTCCAGTGAGTCAATCTCGAGCTCAGAGACTCACTCTGGGCACCGGGACAAGGGTGTTTTTGAAGCAGTCTGTGGAATAATTAGGTTGCTTTAATGTCCGCCTTCTGTAAAGAGAATTAGCCCTCAAAATTCAGCATAGGGTAGAATTTCCTAGGAAATATGCCCCATTTTGTACCTCAGGACAGACCTCTACATGCTGCACACCAAAGATATTAGTGCTGAAGTGACTTTTACCATCATGATCACACCACATAATAATTGTAGGTGTTCTTTATTGTCCTATTTTATTCAGATTAAAATTCTGCTTTTTGAGCAGGCGAGAAACTTAGGTGCCTCTTTGTTTTTTTGTTAGTGTTTAGCTAAATGTTTTCCCTCAGCTGTCAAGCAAAAATACCTTCCATCTGTTTTTAAATGCTGAGCTTCTGTTGATTTCTTGTTGGTGGAATTGAGCACAGGGTGGTGGGCTAGCAAGTGTAGGTGGGCATGTCCTGCCGCTAACGTGTCTGTGTTTTAGGGAAAAACACTTAATCTTCCTGTGCCGTGGCCCTGTGTCATGACACGTGGAGATGCTGATATCAATCCCCGTTGTGTAAATCTGAGCGGTCTGCCTGTTTTGAAGTTTGTTATGTGATGTGCAGGGGAGCCTTCTTCAGCTAGTAACTCCCGTATCTCTGTTTTTCTTGGGTCCTGTGGGGGAATCTCTTCGTGACATCACTTTTTCTCTCTTCCATCTCCATGTCTGCGCTCAGGATCGTATTGGTCGTCCCTCGGAGACAGGGATCATTGGCATCATTGACCCAGAGTGCCGCATGATCGGCCTGCGGCTCTACGATGGCCTCTTCAAGGTCATCCCTCTGGATCGGGAGAACAAGGAGTTAAAGGCTTTTAACATCCGCCTGGAAGAGCTCCAGGTCATCGACGTGAAATTTCTCTATGGTTGTCAAGCTCCGACCATCTGCTTCGTCTACCAGGTACCCTGTCCTTGTTTGGTGACTCAAGCCAAGGTGCTCTAGAGGTCCTCTAGAAGGACTGGAGCAGTCAGTGCCGTGGAGCATGTAGAAAGCAGAGTTGTGCTCCAGTGGGCAGAGCAAAAGACCCCTGTCTGCTGCAAATTTATTTTGTAGCTGAGGAAAATCCATATTCTTCTCCAACATATATATATATATGTAAGAATTATTTATTTTTTCATTTCTGGGAGATGTGAGGAAACACTCTCCTACTCTCACTGACTCTTCAGCTGTTGTTCTCTAGAAATATGTGTTAAAAGTGGCTGGTGATGCTGTTTCAGGTTTTGACTCGTTTCGGGTTGTCACTTCAGCAAATCTAGGAAGCCCAGGAGTGGTGTTTAGCATCCTGTAAAATGCCAGGGATGCCTGTGAGGCTGGTTAGTGCAGCTGCTGTTGTGTAGCAGGGAAACTGAGGCAGCAGAGAGGTCTGGCCAAATTCTTACACTTGGTGTCAGCTTGGACTGGAGTGCCAGGTTTCCACTCCGTCCTCGAGAGCACCGTAAACAAGGAACTTTGTCTGATGTAGTCAGCGAGTAAAATGGGACATAATCTCAAGGGATCTGTCATTTTTGTTTTCCAGATTAATCTGTTAATGGCTTGTTTGTTATAAACAAGCATTATAAGTGTAAAGGGTGAATTAATGTTTTTTTTTCCATGTTAACAGATTCTTCATACACTTTTACCCTCGCAGCAAGAGCAAGGTGCAAGTTCTGTCCAACTCATTGGGTCTTGCATAAAACACTGGATTTGTTTTGGTCCCTCTGTGTCTGACTTACATGTGTGTGCAGAGAGGGGAAAGTGTCCAAGCTTCTTCTCTATGTCTATTTCTTTTACAATTCACTGATCATAATCATAGGATTTGGGCTGAGTAGGACAGTAGTGAGTGTCATTTTTTTTCTTTTTGTATTTTGAAACCAGAGGAAGATACCACAAATAAGAACAAGTTCGTTTAAAAAAAAAAAAAAGTGAGAAATGCTGTTGTATGGAGTAACAAGGTCCAAAAGTTGCATTAATTACTCCATTGCCATGCTAAAGCTGCATTTCTGCTTTAAAACAGACTGGGCTCTAGAATGGTCAGCGAGGGAGTTTGCTAAGCTGCAGAATCACCAAGTGTGAACTGGGAGGCACTCACGTTCCCTGTGAATGTTTGTTTATAAAATTGGAAGCTCCAGGCAGGAAGAAGAGAAGAAATGTTGTACTTATTTTCGCAGATTTGATCTGGAAAATAGTGAGATGTAACAAATAAAAAGATGAAAGGCACTTTCTGAATACTTCTGGAAGCAACATGATGAAGGAACCCTAGGTCCCTGTGGCTTAGAGCCTGTGTTAGCTTATACACATGAACTAGGCCAGTGGGTTCCAATCCAAGCATTTCCTGTGCTTTGAAGCACTCTGTGCATCTTTTTATTTTCCCAACAGGGATTCCCAGCTGTGTTAGCATAGACAGCCTCTCCTCCACCCCCACTCATTTCAGTGAAAGCTCCATGGACTCACCTTCTCTGAGACCCCTAGATCTTCTCGGCTTTGGTTGAAATTGCCCACCATGGTAGGAATTACTGGAATGCCAGGGCAGCCTGGGGCTTGTTCAGCCGGCAGATTATGTTTCCTTAAGGGAGG